TATAAGCGTCCCTGCAGAAAAAAATTATCAATTGATAAAAAATAACCTACTTGTAGTTAGATTTTTTGAGGGATTTCTATAAAATATATAACCTGTAGTTAGCTACAAAAAGCTAACTTGAAACAAGTGGACAAGTAATGCAGGAGTAAAGCTCGAGATCGTTTTCTTTAAACGCGTTTCTTTTTAAATGTCTTGCACTTCGCAAATACTTTTTCGAATCGAGGATAAATAAAAGCAAAAACAAAAATTCATATTATCATTTAAAAGTTATGTCTGACGAAGCTCGAATATGGGACCACCTACAGCAGAATATGGAAAAAAATATGAATTNAAATGTCTTGCACTTCGCAAATACTTTTTCGAATCGAGGATAAATAAAAGGAATATCAAAAATTCATATTATCATTTAAAAGTTATGTCTGACGAAGCTCGAATATGGGACCACCTACAGCAGAATATGGAAAAAAATATGAATTGTAATAAAATAAATAAAGTAAATAAAAATAAAAAAATATTTTGTTTTTCCTATTGATATTTTATATCCAAAAGTAGTTAGTCGCAAGTTAGTTACATCAAATGCAGAGGTAACCACCCTTGACTACATCTAATGCAGAGGTAAACCACCCTTGACTATTTCGCGGCCATCGTCATACAAATATAGTTAGCTTTCGTCAAAGAAAATATACAGATAATAAGTGACTTTTAGCTCCTTCTTAATGAACTTGAAGTTAGCTTATAATTAGATACATTTCCTGCAGGGGTATGTGTTCCTTTTCTTTCGTTCATGTTTTTTGATATATCTGTACTGTAGTGTTTTCGGACGGTACTAGCTCTTACTGCCAATATAGGAGTATTACATATATGTATATTTCATATTTTTTTCAATTCTTGTTTGAAATTAAGAAAAAATTATAAAACATACCAGCAAACTATTAATTTTCAATGCTGCGAAGACAACGTTGAAACTGTTGTGGATGTTTAAGACATACAAAGTCCTGGCAATGAACACATAAGAAATAAGTTTTTTTTATACATTTTAGCTGCACTGTGTTGTATGCATATCTTGCAATTTTGTTTCTTGTTTTCAGGGACAACAGATTTGCTTCTACCATCCGGATGTAGTAATTCAAACTATATATAGTTTAATCAGAATTTTGGTATGCAGGTTTGTGGACCATTTCATTCTAGTATAATGAAGTGCAAGTTTCAAGCTGCTATAAAATCCCGTTAATTTTTGGTAATTTTTTTTTGCTGACAGTGTTCTCCATAAAAATAATTTGTGTGAGCTGTCTGCAAATGTTTTTTAAAGTTGGCTGTCGCTTCACCTGAACATTTGAAAAGAAATTCCAAAGAATCGGCGAAAAAATGCCGATGCCGACGCCGATGCCAATGCTCAATTTTGTGCCGATACTAGAGGATGCCGATGCCGATGCCGATTAATCGGTCGGACTCTACGTAGCATTGCTTTGCTCAAAGAAAAAATTTTAAAATTTTTCGACGCAAATATTTAGAAAATGGTTTAATGAATCTTAAATCTGTAAAGTTTGTGCACAGTTTAGGATCGATCACTTTACTTTGATTTATAATTTGTCTCTGTGCGATTTGTAGATCGCTGGGAATAAGCGCCTTGTTTCGGAATAATATATAGATTATATCTGCATTACTAATAGGTATAGCCCTTTTCTAATGCCTCAGTAGAACTTATATTTAGTCGATTAAAAATGTGTTAGATTGACTTGAGCACTGATATATATGAGCAATATTATATACAAAGCAAGGCACTTTGTTTGAGCTGCAAGAACAAATGTACCAATTGAATTGGAGAATGTAATTAATCTTAATACTAAGTACCTGTAACTAATATGTAGTCCACAATACTCATATCTGTAATAAGAAAATTTTGACTAAATTGTTCGGATTTTGAGTATTTTTCATTTGTTCTTGAGGAATTTGGTAATATTTTTGTGGCAACACTGGAAGAAAGGGAGGTAAAAACTTCCAGTTTGTTGTTTTTTATGATTGTATATTTCCATATATGTAATACTTCTATATTGCCAGTAAGCTAACTTCTCAATGTGTAAGCATTCCGAAATCAAAGCGAGACAGTCTAGAACCGTTTTTATACCCGATCGCGACTTGTGCACAAGGGTATTATAACTTTGTTCAAATAACGGTTGTTTGTAACAGGCAAAACGAATCGAGATA